AAATCAAATCAAATCAAATGCCATGTAGGGCTTTAAAGGTAATCACCAGTACTTTGTAGTGCGTCCGGAGACTAATAGGGAGCCAGTGCAGCTCGCGGAGGATAGGTGTAACACAGGTGTACCGAGGTACACCTGATATCGCTTGCGCGGCTGCATTCTGGACCAACTGCAGTGCCTGGATTCCAATCACATGACTGCAGGAGGGATTGTGATTGTCGTAAATGTAAGAACAGATTATAAATTGCTTTTCTGATGCCATCACAACTTCAAATAGTTGTTGAATGAACAGCTATAAGTTGAGAATGACATACATACTTACATACATGCATACATACATACATGTATGCCAACAAAAAAAGAGGTATACACAATGTTTTCCTGATTTTTATATCACCACTTTATTTTACTATTCCAAAAGGAATCTTTTCATTTTTTGTTAGTGGAAACCAATTGGAGAAAAAAACAACATTAAATTTATATGTAGGTAACTTTATACTGATACCAGAATAGGAGAGCAGCTTACAAAAACATCAAAAAGACTTCTCATAAATGTAACCTACAATATCCAAGATTTATCTCTAAAATCCTAAAAGTACAATTCACGATAAAAATGTACATTAATTTGTCTTTTAGAGGTAGCACTCAAAACAAATAATCACACGAAACAATCTGAAAGTAAATACAGGTATTTTAAATGTAGGAAACGTAAAAATCAGTCATTCAAGTGCAAATGTTGAAGTCAGCCAAGAAAAGTAAAGGGAGGAAGATCAGGGATCATATTTTAGGATTGTTGTGAGCCAACTTCTTAAGTAACAATGCCTTTCAGAGCATGAACAATAGCTACATATGCTCAAGAAAACAAACCAGGCCGTACACAGTTACCATGCACGCCCAAAAGAAATGACTCCTTTAAAGGGTTCCTGATCGATACAGTAAATTTACCCTAGTTAAGCCAAATCTGATGCAACTTTACTAGTTCCAGACGCAAATACTGCAAATTCTCTACTAATAACCTTCTCCCTCTGGAGTTTCAATAATCTCAAAATTGAGAAGACCCTACAGAGATTCCAAGAAGCAATAAAAGAGAGAAGGGATGGATATTTTCCTTCCATTATGGAAATCAAGCCTATATTTATATAAATATAAATATAAATAAATATATATAAGAGCCGAGGTGGCGCAGTGGTTAGAGTGCAGNGTTTTATTGTAAGCCGCCCGGAGTCCTTCGGGAGTGGGCGGCATACAAATCAATAAAACCAAACCAAACCAAACCAAACTACCTGCCAGAGACCCCCATCCTACTTGCGGCAGAATCGTCTCTGGCAAGTAGCATTTTTACTGTTAAAGAAGCTGGGTGAAAAAAAAAATCCCTTATTGAAGGGACTTCTTCACCCAGCCTCGTCGACAACAAAAACATTGTCTGATAAACCGATTTCACCTCATCTGGGGCGGAGTTCTCTCCACCAGGAGGAAGGGGAGTTGCAATGCTGGGCTGCAGAAAAGACGTTTGAATCACAAAGATGATTGCCCACTTTCTATCCATCCTGGGAAAGCCATAATACAGTCATAAAGTTGAGAAAGGTCATGCGGTGACTAATTTAATGACCATGACAACTTATGACCTAAATGTCAGGCTGAATTGTGATCATCAATCGGTGACTACTTTTAATACCTAAAGAAATTAAGAGCTGGCCAATTCCCTTTTAGACACACTGAATCAAACTGCAAGCTGTATTATATTATTTAATACAAACCAATATATACATTCATTGAATTGTTGTATTACATAATTTAAATACTGTATTAAATATTTGGGTTATGGGTAGTCCTCGACTTATGACTAATCGTTTAGAGGCAGTTTGAAGGTACAATAGACCTCCCAAAAGTATTTAGGACCGAAAAGTACTTACTAAGTTTACAAATAATTCAAAGTAGTGAATATATCTAACATAACTTCTCTTATTTTCCCCATAACAACAACAACTCTGTGAGGTGGGATGGGCTGAAAGAGAGTGACTGGCCCTAAGTCAATCAACTGCTTTTCATGGCTAAGCCGGGACTTGAACTTACAATCTCCTGCTTTCTAGCCTTAACCCCTAGACCAAAATGTTTGAATTTTTAGTAATAGCTGACTTTTTTTTAGCCTTGAAGGGTTGCTTTTACATGGAAAGTAAGAAAAGCACAGTTGTTTTGACAAGATTTCTCACATAGTAATATCATTATCATTCTACCATCATAGCAATTGTAGTTTCTAGTGCACTGTAAAAGGCCATAGGAGAGTGTTACATTCCGTGACCCGACGAAAGCGCGCATGACAAAAGCGCGCTGACAAAACCGCATCACTAAAACCGCGACGTCATCAACGCACTGATAACAGCGTGTCGACAGAAGGGCGATTTAAGTTAAGGTNTATTGTTTTTTTTTTTCTTACAGGAATGACTTCTTTTCCTGAAGGAGGGCCGGATGTCAGCCTCTGCTTCGCTATTTGCTTTTGGCTGCTATTGCAACGAGAGGGGGGTGGTATTTGGGAGGGGAGGATTTGGTACAGGGGAGATTGTTAAAAGGGAGTTTTGTTCTCACCATCTACTGCACATGCTGAAGACTGGTGTTTAGTTAGTCAAGGATAACTGTCCTGCATACCAACCTGATGATGCTCCTTGGAGATGAAACCCATATGACACCTGAGGGATTTGCAGATTGGACAATGGGATGGGGGTTACCGGGGTGAGGGGGTTGGACAAATGTTAATATGTATGATTTCGCGCACTTTTGCCTCAGACCTTGCTTTGCTTAGCTGCTGTCGTTTCATAATCAGTAAAAGTACTCTTAATTCTGCAAAATGGAGTTAAGTGGTTTCTTTCTTGGTTGCTGAGGGAGGCTGGCTTGACAGTCTCCTTCTGCAACCTTTTGACAACTCAATGCGGAAGCCAGAGTTCACTTAATAATCGGGTTACTAATGATCAACTGCAGTGATTCACTTAACTGTGGCAAGAAAGGCAAAACTCATTTAACCAATGTCTGTTAACAGAAATTTTGGGTCCAATTGTGGCTGTACATCGCAAAATACCTGTACTACACACACTCTTTATGGTTGGTCCCTACCTTTTTTACCCATTTAGCCAACCCTAATGCTGGGATTTCCTGGTGCTCTCTTACTCCACCCCTCCTGGCCTTTGAGGGAGCAAACAAGCCAGGGCAAAACTACTCAGTTATATGGCGCTGCTATATAGAAACATAGGAAAACGATGGCAAAAGAACTGCTGGTCCATCACCAGGAACTGTGGTGTTGCAGTGAGCAGAACGCAGCACTGCAGGCTGATTGCATCCCCACTGTCAGTTATATCCTGACCAGCTCAATAGCAACAGCACTCATAGTGCTTTACAGCTCTCTCTAAGCGCTATAGTCAGCCTATTGCCCCCAAAAGTCTGGGTCCTTATTTAACTGACCTCAGACGATGGAAGGCTGAGTCAACCTTGAGCTGGTGTGACTCAAGCTGCCGGCAGTCAGAAGGAGCTTGCAGTACTGCATTCCAACCACTGTGCCACTCCGGCTCTTCCAGGAGGACTCAGCCTTCCATCCTTCCAAAGCCAATAAAAGGAGGACCCAGAATGCTGACATTGTAAACTGCTCAGAGGGCTGATGTGATATATAAATCTGCTATTGATATGAACTATACCTTTTTGTTTTATTTATTTATATTAATTTTAAAACTTGTATTTATTTTTTAACAGATGATAGACACGTGCTTATCCCAAGCATGTTTAAAGTCAGTTACTGATGACTGACCCGCTAACCAGCTTCCACTATTCTTTTTGTGAAGTCACTCTTTCTATGACGACTTTTGATCTTCCCTCCAAACAGTTTGAGGTTATTCATGAGTTTTGCTTAATATTAAAAATACTCGCTTCTAGAACAGGGGTCGCCAACCCCTGGTCCTGGGGTCTGAGCTCTCTCTATAGCAGGATTAGGACCTCCTTTTTCCTGCTGGTTTTCTTTCTAGTGGTGCATCCCAGATTTTGTTTGCCTTCACAGCTACCTGGCCACAGTTTGCTCATTTTGCAGTCATCTGCAATGATGACTGCAATGATCTGCTACATCTTTTTCTTCTGTTGTCCAACACTACACCCTCGAAGAGGATTCATTTTCCCTAAATGTATGATCTTACATTTAGAAACATTGAACTTCAGTCTCTATATTTTGACCAATTTTTCAGTCATGGCAAATCATTTTCCATGTTATGAATATACATTTTTGTGTCATCAACAAAAAGACAAATCTTACCTAGCAATCTTTCTGTTATATCATTTACAATGTGGAACAGAAGAGCCTGGGAGCATGCCGTTTGTCTCAGATAGTGTCCCATGAACAATCCCACCCTGGGCTCTGACTTTGAGCCAATTTTTCACCCACTGAACCACCCAGGTGTTAAGCCAAAGCCTGTACAACTTTTCATGAGTTTGTTATGTGCAACTGTACTTTGCTAAAATCCAGATAGGCTACATCCACAGCAGAGTTTATGAATATATTATATTTGTAATATAATATAAAAATATAAACCTTTATAAAACCAGCATTATACAACTTCTAAAATATCCCCATAGCATTTCAATATATGTTATATCAGGCTGGAAATGTTTATTAATATATAATCAGGAGTCGTCTCTGGAAATTGCAGAACTGGGCAATATTCCAAAGCAGATAACAACAGATGTGGCTTGAAAGAGACTCATGTTCAGCCAAAACAGAAACATCACCAGCTCATTTTGTTAACTCAAGCACTTCAGAGTGACTATTATACAGTGAGGCAACAATGGAAGAAATATACTTCTAGAACAAGCCATTAACTGAGTTCCTGGATCATACTAGTTTGCTTAACCACCATATACTAAAGAAGTGAGCTGAGATCATGCAACAAGCTACACCAAAACCAAATGTGTCACATAGTGGCTTAGTGATCCCACCCCACCCCAATATTGCAAAGAAAAACTGATTGCTAGGCACATGGACAGAGAAAAAAGGGGAACTAATTAGTATACATTTGGGGACAAAGAAAAGGAATCTGGAAATGCATCTTCCATCTTGATGGATTATTTATTTAAAAAGTTGTTAGGGTGTGGGAAAAGAAGGTTTGGACAGCTGCCATAATTCATCTTTACTGGACCCCCAGAGGTAGAGACTGGGGAAAGGAGGGACCCCTGGCTTGCCAAACTAATCCAGGGAGAACTGCAGGCCCCCAAGTAGGCCATTCCTTTGGAGAGACAGTCTGGAGGCCGAAAGTCCTCTACAGAGGTTACCAGGCTGGAGCTGTGTTGGCTAAACGCCTCATGCGCCTGGAAGGGAAGACAGCAAGATTAATCATCAGCAGATTATTGGCATAACTTCAGTTTAAACTGGGAAACAGGCTGGAAGAGAAGACAGGAACAACTCCTGTGCAGGGAAAATAAATCATCATTCCCATTTCAGTACATAGAATTCAGTACAATCCATGGCACAAGAACATTTTTAGGAAAGTTTCCTGCAAACCAGAGGCACAATTAGCGAAAGTTCCTCAAAATGGTCAGTACTGATCCCAAAAGTTTAATGGGACAATCCATTGTGGTTGTTGTTGTTTTTAAAACTTAATTAAAGTAGTATTTATTAAATTATTTTCATACGTTGTTTGGTGATCCATGAACTACCCAAAACTTTACCTGAAGACTCTGGGAAGTTTTCTGATCGTCAGAACTAGTTAATTCTAATTTTAAAATCTGTGAAACATCTGAGAATATCAAAAAATTTTCACTTGTATTTATTTGTTAAATTTATTTGCCAGATATCTCGCAAGTACATTTGATCTCATGCAGAAAAAATAATAATAATTTCACGAGAAGCGGCAGGCAGTACCTTGTGTTCCGGTCTTGGTCTCGGATCTTCTTCTCCATCTCTGCATCAGTGAGGGTTTCAAGCAGAGGGCACCACTGGTCGGCATCCCCAGTGTTACGAATGGCAATCTCCACGGTCGGCAGGGGGTTCTCACTAACAGATGACATGAGAGAGAATCAGGGCTAACAAGGTCCTGAGCTCCAAAGGAGTACAGGGTCACATCCTTTTATTCTCACTCACATCCTATATGGACTGCCACATCCAGCAGAATTGGATCTGAAGTTAAGCAGACAAGTTGGCTTCAGATTGTGGAAGATACTTGGACTCCCAGATGAAAGGAAGCAGAGGTGCTGCATTACAGCCTCTTGCAGTAACCACAGCTGAACTCCACATTGCAGGAGTGGGAAACCTGTGCCTCTCAGAACGTCTATTCCCAACAGTCTTGAGCAGCACAGCCAAAGGAAATATTTAGCAATACCTGGTGGTCCACAAATCGGCCATCCCTCAGATCCCCCCACTTGGGGACAGGATCAAAGCATAAATACCTGAAGGCATACGTCTTCTGATGCCAGCTCAGCTGCCCCCGGATGCTGTAAGCGATGGTGGTGACGAACTCACCACCCAGTCCAAGTTCTGAGCACAGCTTCAGGGCAAACTTCTCAGGGGAATTCTCCTTCTCAGACATATCCCACTCAAACTGGTCCACCAAGGAAATGTTCCCCACATGAATGTTGAGCTAGAAGCAGAAGACACAGGTGAGGGCTTCATTTTTTGTACGTCAAGCAAACGTGAATCTAGCCATCCCTCTCCATATCCTACAGAATATGAATATCAAAGAAATTGAGTGCTACAGACTGAACTTCAACACAAGGCCTCCATGCCTGCTGGCTGCCTTCCTCTGGAGAGCAACAAATTCCATGCTCCACCTGTTCCAGGACATGTAGGGATAGGCAGTAAAAAAAAAAAAAAAAAACCTCCAACAAAGAAATGGAATAGTACAGAGGTACCCAGATATGTCATGCAAGGAAACTACTCTTGTTCGATGTCTCATCAGAATCTTCTTGCTTATAAAAATATAAGTATCTCCATCTTTCAGAATAACATACAATTATAATATAAAGAAACTCATCTAACATCATTTAGCCAAACATAGCAATGCAATTGCAAAAAATAGCAGTTAACATATTAAAATAAAATATACACTGCTTATATACCAAAAACAGTAACTGAAGTTAACTGATCTGCAAACTTTAGTAATGAAAATTGAGAAGCATAATGAGAAAATCAAAACTCAGCTTAAATATAAAGACGACCACATTAATGGCACCAGGTACAGCAATGACCCTTGGATCTGATAATGAAGATGTTGAAATGATGGAGAGCTTCTGCTTTTTAGGACTTTCAACAGTAAAAGAACCAGCAGTCAAAAAATGCACTGCACTCTTATGGTGATATGGCCGACACCTGACATGCCCAGAGAATTTCCTCTCTGTGATTTGTCATTTTTCCAATTTAACAGAAGGAACAGACTTTCCTTTCACTTGTCTGATTCTCCTGGGTTAGGGAGATCCTAGAATCCTCCGATAAGCAACGGTCTGCAAGTAGCTTCAGAAGCTGTGCTTTGAAGCAGTTGGGGGGGAGGGGAGGCAGGGCTACAATCATTTTCAAAGGAGCAATAAGTCATGCCTTATTTCTTAACTAATTTAGGAGACTATTATCTTTATTAGCTAAAAGAGGCTCTCTTTAGTCACAGCTTTTTTGAAGCTCTGAACCATTTTCGAGACTTTCTTATTGTTAAATGACAAGGAAGAGGGTTGTGGAGGCAGCTAAAATAAGGGTGTGGAGTATTTTTTTTCTTTTTAAATTTGATGGAGAAACATAAGGATAAAAGTTGTGGTTTTACTATTTTTAAAATAATCTGTAGCCCTGGATTGCTTTGCTGTAGGTGATTGAATTTTTCTAATTTTCATGAACTCTGGCCAGGAAAAGGAATAAATAAATAAATAAATGTTTGACTATAGAGGGAGCTACAAAAATGTTTAATCCCGAGCTTGTGTCTGTCATCAGGAAAATCTTTGAAAGCTCCATACAGAAAATCACCTATACCAGAGATAGCATTCAGCCAGTTCTTTCAGGTTCTGGAGTAGTTCAGAGAACCGGCAAATAGGCTTGCCCTGCCTCCACTGTCCCCCAACTGATCTTCTTCTGTTGCCCTGAACAGGAGAACAGAGCTTGAAAGCAGGTTAGTGGGGTGGGGTGGGGGTGGGAAGGGAATGGGGATTTTGCAGTATCCTTCCCCTGCCAAGCCCACAAAGCCACACCCACAGAATCGGTAGTAAAAAAAATTGAATCCCACCACTGCCCATAAACCAGCTAGAGACTAGATACAAATCATACAGATGATATTAAAAACAAGAGATACAATTATTACCCCTTCGTGATAAGTCAATAAATACTGGACAATGCAAATAACTAATTTTGGAATATAAATCATACACTATTCAGATGGTATAAATATAACCTTGCCAGTGCCATAGAAACAAGAATGTCAAGTACATTCACAATTTTTAAAAGGTCAAGTTTGGGATACTAACAAGGTTGAGAATCCTTTGAGAAAAAAAAGATAGACATCTCAGATCTTTTATTCTATGAGGAAGGGTTTCAAGTTAATCTACAATTTTTAACAGAACTTTGGGACTTTTTTAAATGGATATTAAAAGGCTGAGAATTTCTTGAAGAAGAGAAACAATAGATATTTCTGAAAATAAAAACTTTATTCTATGAAGATAAGTTGGAGGAAATTTAATGACTTAATTAGTTAGGATGGATTTTTATAAGTTTGATATATGTTTTGAAAGAAAGCTCTAAGACAGATACCATGGTTTCCCTGAAAACAAGGCAGGGTCTTATTTTCTTTTGACACCCCCCCCCAAAAAAATAAGCGCTTGGCCTTATTATCGGGGAGGTCTTATTATTTTGGAAGTGCAGGTGGCAGTAAACGTGGTCACCTCATGAGTGCTGCTGTGTGGCAATTTTTTCAGGGCAGGCTTATTTTCAGGGGAGGGCTTATTTTAGCACATGCGCTCAAAAGCCTGATTGGACTTATTATTCGGGGAGGCCTTATTTTCAGGGAAACAGGGTAGTATTTATAAAATAAGTTTGTAAATGTATGTTTTCTGTCCTTCTATGTAATGCTGAATAATCTCCAAAGTTTGTAAAATATTATTGATCAAATTTAAAAATAACACACAGACTTTAGGGTTAAAAAAATTAAAATAATATAGGGAATTATTTTAATATAAATGACAGTTTATAAAGATTAATTAAACAGAAGCATATACGATTCCCAAACTAGGAGAGGCAGAAATGGTTAAATTGACATTTTTATCCAAAGAGAATATATTTTTGTTTTCATTTGGAAATTGCTTCCAAATATTGTGCTTTCAAAAGAAAAAGTGAAAATGATTTCGCTTTTGCTGATTAGGTAGGTTTGTTGTTATAGAAATGAAGAGTATATATTTTTGTGTAAAAGTAAAAAGTTGAGGTTGTAATGCTGTGCTAAAGAGAGTTGGGAGTCAGTGCCTTTTTCTTTGTTTTTCCCTCTTTCTACCATATTTGCCCTTTTTTTCTCACATACCCAGTTTTCTATTACTTATTAAAATTTATCTTTTTCCGCAAATCTTTATTATGGTCAAAGACCAGCAATTCACATTACTTTTTACAATATGTTAAAAAGTACTGACATTAAAATATAATTAAAAAGTATTGA